AGTGAATATTGTGTATTTTCTTTAATTATAATGAAGTTATATTTTAGTAAACTAGACGTTCTTTTTGATAAAATTCTTGTGTTTATTGTGGTGATTACTTTGTCCTAATCATATTTAATATTTTGCATACTTTAGTTGCTGACCATATTTTTACAATGGCCAGATCAAAACCACCTGCAACATCAAAATTATATTTAAAAAAAAAAATTCCACGTCTAAGGAATTCTTGCAAATGTGCAAACACAACTAATTTATTTCAAAGAAAATCAACTCCTTAAACCGAATTATATTCGGATGACACAGCAGTCTATGGTTTATGATCTCTCTTGCCACCAACAGGGGTTGGATCAAGTGGTAAGCGGTTTGTTCCGACTTAAGTAAGGTTTCGAGTTTGAAACGTTATGCACGCAACAACTCCCACTGAAAGACTTACTTACCATTTTCAGGTGCGCAATATGAGTTGGGTTCAGATTAGTCGGGACGAAACCTCAGATACCGAGCGGGAAACCAAAAAAAATGATCTCTCTTGCCACCTTCTGATCAATCTGTCATCAAAAGCATATAAAAATTTGAAAAAAATAAATGAATAAATATTTAAGACTAATTACACATGCATGATGCATAGCAAAATTTCCCAATCTTTTAAAAGAATTATAGATTAAAAACTTAAAATTTAATGATAAACACGAAAGAAGAAAAACATGTACGGACCTATGCCGCGCTCAATGTAGTTCATGGCGACGAGTTCTTTGGTTTCTCTGTTTCGCATCAGCCTCCCCACCCCAAAATTCCCCGATCCTATGTCCTTCACCAACTCGTACTTCTCCATCTTGTACGAATCCGATAAATAAAAATTGAAAAACCCTAACCTAAAGAAATTCACAGAATCAAACCTTCGAAATCCCTCGAAATTTCGCCCGCATTCATGCTCTTCCCGCTCAACTCACGCGACAAAACTTGTACGCAATTGGCGGTGGCGAGTTTGGAGAGGTTTGAAGGTAAG